GCTTCAGAGGTCTTTGGATCCTATGAGACTATAGTTACAGTTCATTGGGAGCTGACATGTGGGAGCTGGGAATTGAACCCCACTTCTTAGAAGAGCAACCAATGTTCTTAACCACTAAGCCACCTGTCTAGTCCCTTATCTTCCTTTTTGAGATCCTCTATCCGCACACAGGCACACACATGTGTGCACATGCATTCATGTCTCTCTTCTGCCTCTATTCCAGATTAATTGATAATCTCTGATCACCACTTAACCTTGTTTTTCTTTTTCTTCAGCCCCATCACATTTTTTTTTTTCAAGACGGGGTTTCTCTGTGTAGCTTTGGAGCCTATCCTGGCACTCACCCTGGAAACCAGGCTGGCCTTGAACTCACAGAGATCCGCCTGCCTCTGCCTCCCAAGTCCTGGGATTAAAGGTGTGCACCACCAACGCCTGGCCAGCCCCATCACATTTTATACTTGCAGATCCTCTTCTCATGAGAGCCTGGCTTGTCCTACCTTGAATCTTGCTGATACTGTTTCTTGGCTGTCTTCCCTGTGCTGGCAACTTCCTTAGGACCCTGGTCTTCCCTGTGCCATTGCTATCCTTGCCCTCTCTCCTCCACACCACTCTTGTCTACCAGAGGAAGGGAAGGAAAGCCAGTGGTTTTAGAACCAAATAGTGTGTGTGTGTGTGTGTGTGTGTGTGTGTGTGTCTTTTGTTTTGCCATGTGGTATGGAGAATGGAACCACACAGAGCTTCACTCTAGCCTGAGAAACTGTTTTGAAGTTGCAAGGCTCTTTGCACACCTTGGCCCAGTGGTGCCCTTTACCTGTTTCCCCTAGTCTTACAATAGTCTTAGAATCTCACCAGATCACTTTGGCCTGAAAGAATCCTGTGTTTCTATGACCATTTGTTCCTCCAGTACCCCTTGTTAGGGTCTGACTGTGTCCTCCCAAATTCATATGTTAAGGCCATGTTTTAGTTAGGGTTACCATTACTTTGATGAAACACTATGTCCAAAAGCAACTTGGGAGGAAGAGGTTACAATGGAAGAGGTTATCTGGAGTCACATTCCTTTGAGGGAAGCCATGATAGGAACTCAAACTGGGAAGGAACCTGGAGGCAAGAGCTGATGCAGAGGCCACAGAGGGGTTCTGCTTATTGGCTTGCTACACATGGTTTGTTTGGCCTGTGTTTTTATGTAGACCCAGGACCATCAGCCCAGGGGTGGCCCCATCTACAGTGGTCTAGGCCCTCCCACATCAACCACTGATTAAAAAAATGTCCTACAGGCTTGCCTAGTGCCCAATCTTATGAAGATTTTTTCCCCCTGATTGAGACTCCTTCTCCATGACTCTAGCTTGTGCCAAGTTGACATAAAACTAGCTAGCACAGACTTTAAGGCTCAGGTGATGGTATTAAGAGGTGGGGACTTTGGAAGATGGTTAGGCATGAGGGTGATCTTTCATGAGTGGGATTAGTGTTAGATGAAAGGAACCAGAGAAAGTTCCCTGTGTCCTTCCACTGGATGAGGACATAGTGAAACAGCACAAACTATGAGCCTGGAGGAGGGCTCCCTCCAGGCTCCCATCAGACCCCAGGCTTTGATTATGAAATCTCAGCCTCCAGAATGTTGAGAGATGCAAAGCAGTGCTTTATAAGCCATCAATCTCATGGTATCTGTTACATGGCCTAACACACTAAAACACCTCACCTGAAAAACTGCACTTTGGATTTTGAATTTATCTTACTCTGGATTAGCCTGTCAACCTAGTGTGTGGTTGCATGTAATTCACTCTGGTACCCACAGGATTGTTGATGGGGGCATGGATGAACTAAGTATGTGGAAGCCAAGGTGTTAGTTGGCCCTTTTACACTAGTATGTGGGCACCTTCCTCTTGGAGGCAGAGCTCTTACTACCTTAGTCAGCCGTTGTGACGCACAGTCTTGTGGAGAAGCACTTGTTGGTACAAACTTCCTACACCATACATTCCAGTGAGCACTCAACCTTCACTGCCTAGGTTTGCAGGGCTGGCCCAGCAGCTGATGGTAGCAGCTGGTGGCTGAAATCTCTGACCAAAATTTGCCCCCTGAAAAATATTTCAGTCATTCTAGATTCATTGTTAGCCACGAGTAGAATTTAGAGTCTTTATAACTTCAGACAGTAGGTCTATGAAGAAACTTTTGTTTTAAATTAAAAAATGTATTTTTAAATAGTTTTGAAACAGGGTCTCTTTATGTAGCTTTGACTCTCCTGGAACTCACTATGTAGTCCAGGCTGGCCTTGAACTCACAGAGATCTACTGAAGAAATGTTTTTAGATTTCTATTTTATGTGTGTGAGTGTTTTACCTGAATGCATGTATGTGTACCACATTCATGCCTGGTGCCCACAGAGGTCAGAAGAGGACCTTGAATTCCCTAGAACTGGAGTTACAGATGGTTACAAGCCACCAGGTGGACTCTGGGGACTGAAACCTGGTCCTCTGCAAGAGCAGCTAGTGTGCTTAGCCACTGAGCCATGTCTTCAGCCCCTGAAGAAATGTTTATATATTTATAAAGAAGCTCTAACTGTCCAAAAATCAGTTTACCCCCATCCAAAGCTATCTGAAGCTTGACCAGATCACCAGGAAGTAAGTCAGGAAGGTCTCCAAGCTGATGGTACAGTGTGAATTTGATATGTACACACATACATTTAAACACAGTTATTTAGCAATTGCCTGTAGTTCAGCTTACTCTACATGCACATACATGTGTATTTCAAGTTCTAATTTTATTTTTTGTACAAGAGGTTGCTAGACTGTTACTGGAAGCTTATTAATGCTTTCTGGGCACACTGTTCTAACGTCTTCAGTCCATAGCATATCAAAGGGGGGAGCCGTGTAAACAGCAAAAAGAGAGAGTTGAGTTAGTAAGCAGAGTAAGGGATGTGACTGATCAAGGAGCCCTGCATGATGGTGCAGCCCAGGCCTTCACTCTTACATATGGAAAAGCTAAAGTCCCAAGAAGTCACCTGGCAGACATCCCAAGGTGGGGCTGCTCTGGAATCCAGCCCTCTTGACATCATTGACAGCTTTTGAGTGTAATAGCATACTTGCTCACTAACGTCATAACATCAGGATATTAGTCAAAATGTCATCCAGAAACTATTTCTGTTTAGAAAACTTAGGGAAGTGTCAGTATTCTTTGAAAACTGCCATTCCATCCTCTGGGTGGGTGGATGTCTGTTTTGGGAAACTTTTCTCTTGGTCCTTCATTTTCTCTGGTGATGCCTAATGAATGAGAGTGGGTGTGTAGTTCTGCCTTAGAACAAGGTGGGCAAATCTTCACCGGGGACAGCATGAGCTCAGAAGTGGTGTAGCTCTGATGGTACCTATGTCACAAACATGCACTAATACAGGGAGCAAGGTTGTTCCCTGACACTTAAATCTCTCTCTCTCTCTCACATATATATATATATATAGTAAAAGGAACCTGCTGCCAAGCCCAAGAACCTGAGTTCAATCCCCAAGACCCATATTGGAAGTTGTGTTCTGATTGCCACATGCACATGTACACACACATGCACACGTGAGTACATACACAGTAAATTAGAATATAATTACATTTTCTTTTAAAGGACTATAAAATAGATATCAAATATATGAAGAAGAAAAACACTCAATTTGGGAAAAAGAATCATGCTGTTTAACACCTTGGCATAGATTCTACCTTGCCTGCCTGGCTCATTCAGACTGTTACAAGCTTCACGAAGCTCGATTATGTGGCCTGTAGTTTATTTTTCCTGTTTTCAGTTAATAATGAGAATATTTCCACCTAGATACCTAACGCTCTACCAATATTCTTAAACCGTTGCAAATGAATCTGTTCTGTGGCTGTGCCTTAATCTGATCACCCATTCCCCAGGGTCAGTCACCTCCAGTTGCTTTTGCTACTGTGACCACAGTCTCCTTACTCCCAGCCTTTATCATCTCTTAAAACAGTATCTTGGAAAGACCATGGTGGGTTGAAGGAAACTGAGTCTTTTATGATGTTCTCTGTGTGCTGCCAAAAGTCCTGGGCTGTTTTTCTCTTATGACTTTGTGATATTTAGAAAGTTGATCATGTCCCTAATTTAGGCATCTCCAAGTTGTAATCCACCAAATACCTCTAGCGTCCTGGCCATCCCTCTTCCGGCTAGCTGCCCCTCCCCCCTTTCCTTGTACGATCCCTGATCCTTGTGTATATCCACAGGGCTCCAGCATCTGCCCCGGAGGAATTGGAATGGTGGGTAGGACCCATAGAGAATAGTAATGCATGGGTATACATGTCACCCTGCCCCCCGGTATTTAGAATGTAGTTTTATAAAATTTCCTGGCCCCACCCACTCTCACTCATGCACATGACAGGGGCCCTGACTGTTCAGAAGCTTCAGGTTAATCTTCTGGCTTACAACCAAATTCTAGTTTCTCCACCTGGTCTTGTGACTTGCCTCCTGTCCCTTTTCCCTCTCCACAGTCACCCCCCACTTTGTCTACGCTCTAATTACAGTGACCTTTTGCTGTTCTGCAGAATGTCAAGCTCCTTCCTAATCATGGCTTTCAAATACAGGAATGGCTTCCTTCACTGGTGGCCACTTACCTTTCCCTTACTCCTCCACCTTTGGGGCCCAGCCAGGTGTGGTGATGGAGAGGATGGCTGCTGAGGTCAGGCTTGGGTTACTCAATCTGTCTGTGCCTTTGTTTCTAAGAGGTGATAAAAACAGCACCCTGAAGGGGCTGCTTGACTACTGTGTGTGCAATCTACAAATGCTAACCTCCTCCTACACGTTTCTGTGCTTGCTTCTGCTTAGCCAGGGATAGAGCACTCTTCCTGGACCAGCCTATCTTTGGATCATCTGTAAGAAGCACAGATACCTCCTTACTGATATAGATAGGGAGTGTGAGCCCTGCCCAGGTCCAGATGTTAAAACACATCTGCATCTCCTAGGAACTTTCTGAGTTTCTTTTCTTTTTCTTCCCATTATTTTTTTCTCCATAGCGCCCCCAGAACTGATGATGTCATCCAGCTGGCTGCTCCTGCAGACCTGGGACACCCACCCTTAGCTGATTCTTCCGGTCATGGTGACAATGCCAGCTCAGACTCTACACATCTGACAGTCCAGAGGTACAGTAGAAACATGGCTGGGGCTGCCTGAGCCCAGGCCCCATGGGTTCTCCTTCCTTCTCTTCCCTTGTCCCCTGCATACTCCTCTCACAGTGTCTGTATACCTGTCCTAAACACAGTTGGCGTGTGTCAGGGCTTAGCTTCATGTAGCTTTAATTGTACTCTGAAAGAACACTGGAAGCCCTCCAGAGTGTATGTGCTGTTTCAGGATGTGGTTTAGGGAACTGGCTACCTGCTGGCTGCCTGGGACACCAGCTAGGCCGGCTGCTTGTTTTCTTCTGTCTTTGGTAAGGATCAGAGAACAGAGGAGTCAGCAGAGCATGGGAGGAGGAACCAGGCTCACAGCTCGAGTGGCATGGAAGGCACAGTGCAGGACCATACAGCAGCTGGTTACTTAGTGCCCATGGTCAGGAAGCAGAGAGAGGTGAGCTCCAGTGCTCTACCACTGCCTCTAATGGCATAGGACCAACCATAGTTAGGGTAGCCTTCCCTCTTCAGTTAACCCATCAAGAAAGTCCCTCCCAGTCCTGCCCAGAGACTTGTGTCCTCGGTGGTTCTAGATCCTGTCCAAGTTGACAATGTTAACTGACAAAGTCTCTGACTGTACACATCTTAACTTATATTCATAGTCTCCATCTGTACACATTCTAATGTATACTTATGTCTATAAAGCCACTGCGTTTTACCAGATCCTCTATAGCATTGGGGAAACCTAGGTGAGCAGGACAGAGAAGGGACTTTGCATCCTGGAAGCTGGTGCCTCAGGCCTCTCCCCCTAATCCCCTTCTCTGTTCCCCCCCCCCCCCCCCCCGTATTTTGATAGATTGACTGATCAAAGTCTTCCCAGAGGCTTTCTCGAGAACCTCCAATGGTTTAGTGTTGGCTGACTTGTATTTGTGAACTTCATAGAACTTTGCTGTGAATGACAAGCAGCAAATGGACTAGCCCCGCCCACCTGTTGGAGTGGCCAAGAAGTATGTCAAAAGTGACCCTCTTCCCCTTCCTGCTTAGAGTAGGACGGAGGTAAAGGAGGATATGTGGTAGGGGACATGGTTTGCCTTCTGAAGAAACAAGGCTTGCTATTTGTTCAACTTGTGTGACCATGTTTGTGGAGTGTGAAAAAACTTTTATTGTCCCTAGATAGAGTGCCAAAAACACAACCAAAGTCCAAGTTTGTGAATCACCGAGTTTTACTGGGTTTGCTTTCAGGAGTCTGGGTGAGGGGTTACAGGAGCAGAAATGACTCAAAGACAGCTGTGTCACTAAAGCCTACCCCAGTGTGGGTGACAGCTCATGAAAGCTGGAAACCTAGAGCCCACTGCACAGCCTACAGGCAGCTCAACAGGCAGGGTGGAGACAGTTGCTTTGAGCGTCTTTCAACTGTCTTTACTGCTATAGATACTTAGGATGAGGAACCTAGTGATTCTGGTCAGTTTCAGGGGCTTCTGAACTGAAACTTTTGAGTTGTCTACTTCCTGACTTTTAAGGAGCTTCCCTGTAGGATGGGATGTTTCATCTTCCTTTAGTGTGGCAGATCTCAACCTGTGGGTTGTGACCCCTTTGGGGGTTGAATGACCCTTTCTTGGGGTCACATATCAGGTATCCTGCCTATCAAATATTTACATGACGATTCTTTTTAAAAAGTTGGGGTTTTTTTGTTGTTTTTTTGTTTGTTTGTTTGTTTTACTTATTAGTATACAGTGCTATGTCTGCCTGTAGTCCAGAAGAGGGTACCAGATCTCATTACAGATGGTGGTGACCCACCATGTGGTTGTTGGGAATTGAACTCAGGACCTCTGGAAGAGCAGCCAAAGCTCTTAACTGCTGAACCGTCTCTCTAACCCTACAATATGATTCATAATTGTAGCAAAATGACAGTAATGAAGTAGCAATGAAATAGTTTTATGGTTGGGGGTCACCACAACATGAGGAACTGTATAAAGGGTTGCAGTGTTAGGAAGGCTGAGAACCACTGATCTAGAACATCCTAGTCACAAGTGTTTTATATCTGAGGAGTTTGCTACACAACAGAATTTAAAATAAAAAACTTTTTTTTGTTGTTTTTTGTTTTTTCGAGACAGGGTTTCTCTGTGTAGCTTTGGAGGTTGTCCTGGAACTCACTCTGTAGACCAGGCTGGCCTCGAACTCACAGAGATCTGCCTGCCTCTGCCTCCCGAGTGCTGGGATTAAAGGCGTGTGCCACCAATGCCCGGCTAAAATAAAAAACTTTTTAAAAAGCGTTTTTTTTTTTTTTTAGACCAGATCTCACTATGTCGCCCTGGCTATCCCTGAACTATTGATTTAGACCAGGCTGAAACCCAGAGATCTAATGCCTCTGCCTTCTGAGTGCTTAAAAAAACAAACAAACAAACAAACAAAAAAAAACTCACAACTTTTTTTTATATATATTTTTAATTAAAAAAGTGTGTGTGTGTGTGTGTGTGTGTGTGTGTGTGTGTGTGTAAGTGTGACATGTGTGTAGGTACCCTCAGAGACCAGAAGAGAGTTTTGGATCCCCTAGAGTTGGGGTTACAGGAAGTTGTCAGCCACCTGATATGGATGCTGGGAACTAAACTCAAGTCCTTTGCAAGCACTCTTAACCTCTCAGTTACCTCTCCAAGTCAAACATTTTAAATGTGTTTAAAAGGTATTTAAAGGGTCAGCAAGATGGCTCAGTGGATAAAGGTGCTTGCTGCCAAGCCTTTTAACTCCTAGGATCCAATGGGTCTCTTACCAGTTGTCCTTAGACCTCCACACTCACGCCATGCCATGTGTGTGCATGCACGCACATGTACAAATGCAATAAAAATTTAGGAAAAAGTAAGAAAGGCATTTAAAGAAAATGAAGCCAGGCTCTGTGGCTCATGTCTGAGATCCCAGCAGCAGGGAGGCAGAACAAGAGGCCTTACCTACATTGCAAGGGACGCCTGCCTGCTGTATGAGGCTGTCTCAAAGATTTAACCACAAGTAACAAAAACAGGGTAGGAGCTAGTTTAAACCTCTTGAGAGGAAGAGAAGAGAAGGCCGACCAGGGTCACTTGTTGCTGTTCTGGTGTGGAATCCCTGAGTTTCTTGTGTTTGTCTCTGGAAGGAGCTGTTGCTCTTTCTGAGCTATTCCTCAGATGAAAGGAAAGCAACTTCTTCAAGTCCTCTGGGCAGATACCAGCTTGCTCCCCGTGGCTTCAGTTCTGTTTTGCTTTTGACATCTCTGGGCCACCCAGAAACCTGGACCCAAGTCCTCTAGAACATTTTACAAATGACTAGATTGCCCACAGCCATTTGCACTCTTATATGCTCCATATCCCAATTTTTTTCCAAAAAAAAAAAAAAAAAAAAAAAAAGCCAGAATGGTTTTTCAAGTGATGACGTTTGACTGTGTCACTTAGCAGGCAGTGGAACAGTGCATTAAAGTCATGTCAGAATTGCTGGACTGTGTGCTTCTCAGTCCAGAATCCAAGTGAGCTGTCTCTCCTTGGATCCCGAGGAGCCCCATCAATACCATTGGAAAACTACTCACCTGCCTGCTTCCTGCCTGACTTTAGGTTGCATCAGAACAACTGGTAACAGTCAGATAGCTGCCCCACCCAAGTCTGTACTTCGAAATCTGGATGGCTCCAGTCCTCAGGGATCTTCCTCTTGATGTGGTGGGGCCCACATGTGGTACACACTCGGTTGAAACAGTCTTGTCCTGGTCACAGCAACTCAGGACTGGAGACTCCTGGGCCAGCAGTTGATGGGTGAAGCTGCCTATGGCTTCTGTCACAAAACAACCGGGTACTGGGGAGGCATGGTGGCCTTGGTAGAGTGTTTGCAGATGTCTCAATGGATCTTAGGCTTTGAGATTGCAGAAACCAAGGATTTTTGCTTCTCTTTTTCCTTTTGTTCCCAAATTGTGTTAGGGGTTTTGTTCTTATCTTTTTGCACAATACAAGTAGAGGAATTGTTTTTTTAATTTAGAAAAGGCATTACCAATCTGAAGAACAGAATTTCACTAAAAACTCCTTTGACTTCCAGGCCCACGCACTCTATATTGCACTAGGTGAGGTCCCCTTGGGTGTCTGTTTATGATCTTTGTGTTCTCAGCTGGTGACCATTAGATCACAAGATACCATGATATTGACAATTGTCAAATACGGACAGTTTTGAATGGTTTATACTAACATGGTTTTGAGGTTTGTGAGCCACTTAGTCTGGGTAGGTACTTTGGCCTTTGTGCACAAACGTCTTTGACAACTGAGACCAGCCTCCTTTTGTTCTCTGTATTGCATCTGTGTCTTCTGCATCAGGCGGTCAGGGTGCACAAGGGAACTTCACACATGAATGGGTGTGACCAAAGTGAGACTTGGAGACCTCTTCCAGCATGGTTCAAAGTCTCCCCTATAGTTTGGGGCTTGTGCTGTTGATCACTTTTCCCCTAGTTAATATTTTTTTTTTTCTGCTGAAGTCCTGCTTGGGTCAAGCTGGAAATACTACCCTTCCCCCTGGGCATAGACTTAGCTCTGTGATGGGGTAGTGTCTAAAATGAAGGGGAGGAATTGATCCGCTGTACCTACCACTCTCTGAAATCTGCAGCTCAGCATGTTGGGATGTTTACACGCTTGTCTAGGGGACTGGTGTCCATGTGCTGGTAGATTTCATTGGTGACTGGAAATATCTGGATGCATGGCCTTTCTTAGCACCTTTTGAGTCAGGCTTTGGATTTTTCCAGAAGTTGCCGCTCAGAATCACACTCTCCACTCCTAATGATTCCCATTCTGTCACACCCCAGGCAGACTATCCAGTGTTTACCACAGTGGCAATTTCAGAGCAGTTTCCTTTCTTGTCACTCAGTCCTCACTTTCAGTCTGAGCTGTGTATTTGGCCTTAAGGAAGGTCTGCCTGATTATTTGAGTGATCATGCACACTTGGGGATTTGAGGATAAAAAAAAAAAATCAAGAGGCCTGTAAGGAAGGGCTGTGTGCTAAATGTGTTCCAGATGGTGAAGTGAAATGGGAGATAAGATGCCCATCTGGCCCAAATAGGACACGATGTGTTCAGCTTGAACCTTGGGAAATGTTATCACCCTCTTGTGACAGCCCAAGTCACTCTGGTCTATGTCCTTGGACAGGGGCTTAATTTGGCAGCCAGCCTCACCTGATTTTTGAAATGAAATTTGCTATCAGTTCAGTGGGAACTCTGCCTAGAAGGCCTCCAAAGCTCTGAGCTGGGAATCAAAGGCTAGCCGTTGAGGACAGCCTCTCTCTGTAGCTGGGCTATCTAGCTATGGGGGACTGCATGCCAGTCGATAAGCTGAATTCTCTGTTGTGGGTGGTAGACACTGCTGCTGAATCGCTAAAGGGACCAATTGCTGCATGGGACCTTGGTAAAGTACAGTTCAGTGACAGCAAACTGACCCGTAGGCTATGGATCCTAGACAGTCAAAAACCTTGTCCAGTTGGGCTTAACACCTTGATTGGTAAAATCCTATCTGCCTACTAAATCATGGTGGTTTAGGTCTTCTCTAGATGTCAGTTCATTTAAAAAAAAAGTTTAAATTAAAAGTAAAAAACATTTCTCTTTATCTTGCAAAATTATGAACACCCCGAATAAATTTGAATTTGGCTTCTTTGTTACTCCTCTATGGTTTGGAAAACACTAATGAATCTCTTACATGGAAAGAAAGGATCATGGATACTTAAAACCAGAAGGGACTTTACGTACCTCCCCCCACCAGTGGGACAGTGGGACTACTCCTGATATGACATGACATG